CATCGAAAATATTTTTAGGTTGTATCCTTAGAAATCCTACACCATGCCTCAAAAATGAATTTTAAAAATGTACCTTAATAAACCCGCAATCTTCCTCCATGCATTAATGGCCCACCCTGTATAAAGTTATAAGTGAATTAAAAAGTGGAGTTGTTAAACCCTTAAAGAAAAATGCATGAAATAAGAAAAAAGTGGGATTTACTGAATAGATTAAAAGCGGAATAAGAAGAAAAGTTCACAATTTTTATTTTAAAAAAGAGATACCAACACTTGTCAAGGTTTTGGACGCAATCAAATAGTGATTCGTATTTTTCTAAAATGGGAAAGACAAAACTACGGGAAAATCTAATAGTTTTGAAGTTCAAGTGGGATAAACAGAACAGGAAAGCAGCACTTATTGATTCTGAGGAAAGTGTTTGTTGGAGACGGAGGTACCTCAAAACCATTTTTAAATTACGTGCAGAAGGCAAAAAAATATTTTATTTGGACGAAACCTGTGTGAATGAAGTTTACACAGTTAGCAAAATGTGGCAGGGCACAAACATTCAATCTTCACGACAGGCTTTTTTGGAAGGATTATCTACAGGATTGAAGGTTCCTGTCGGTAAAGGACTCATATTGGAAGTGATGACGGGTTTTCAAAACGTGGTTCTTTAATATTTCAATGTAACAAAACCGGAGACTACTACGAAGATATGAACGCTGATGTTGTTTTTGAAGAATATTTTCAGCAGATGATAAAACATTTACCCAAGGGTTCAGTTATAGTAATAGGTAACGCTAGTTACCATTCCCGTCCATTTGAACGAGCGCCAAATACTTCATGGAAGAAAGATGATATCATTAAGTGACTAACAGACAGAAACATTAACTTTCCAGAAAAATCAATTAAAATAGAACTACTAGAAATTGTCAAATTGAATAAGCCTCCAGTACATTGTGTAGTGGATTTAATTGCAAAAAAATGGTATTGATGTTGTGCGTCTTCCTAACTATCACTGCATACTAAAACCTATTGGGCACAAGTTAATGGATATATAGGTCGACAAAATACGACATTTTAGTTACAAGATGTAGAAGCATTGTAACTGATATGGAGGGGGTGTCAGCCTCAAAAAATAAAGTTACAAGTTTTTCAATAAAACAATTGGAATTTACAATTTTGTCTAAATACAATCCAAAAATTTTAATTTTTAAAAAAATATTTTTTTCAAAAATCTGTTTGGACCTGAACCGACATAGTTCGGATGAGGGGGCTGGCATTTAATAAATATAGTTTAAAAAAACTAAAAACCCCCTTTGTTAATACATCGAACTAAAAAGTGAAAAATAAATATATTTAAAAAAAAACTAAAAAACACGCTTTTAGAGCATATCAAACTATAAAGTTAAAAATAATTTTTCAAATAAGCTTAAAACAATAATAAATGGAAAATACTAGTATTATTGTGAAAAAAGCGTCGGGCGCTCGATGTACGAGAAATATGGACAAAGCGCTTAACGATTTTTCACAATAATACCAGTATTTTCCATGTATTATTGTTTTAAGTTTATTTGAAAAATTATTTTTAACTTTTTAGTTTGATATGCTCTAAAAGCGTGTTTTTTAGTTTTTTAAACTATATTTATTTTTCACTTTTTAGTTCGATGTATTATAAAAGCGTGTTTTTTAGTTTTTTTAAACTATATTTATTTCTTACTTTTTAGTTCGATTAATTATTAAAAAATTTTAAGTTGAAATTGCTAAAAAAATATTATTTTTTTTTCAGCCGGTGAGTCTGGCCTCTTGGCTAACGAACGAACTTGACTTAGTGGGATATACTGACAGTAATAAGCCACTTGAGTCCAAAGGAGAGTTACAAACATACATACATACAGGTGAAGCTAATATAAGCGTGTTAAAAATAGTTACAGAGGAGATAAAAATCTCATTTTTTGGCACTTTTTAATAAACCGTATTTCCAACGTTTCAGTACAAAAATCTTACCCTCCCTTCTCCCCATAAATTTAATTAGAACTTTTTAAATGAAACAGTTGAAATACACGTCAAAGTTCGGAGGGAAAATTTTTGTCGAAAAAATTTGAAATTTTGGGTCTGTATCTAAGAAAATCGTAAATTTCAACGTTTTCACACAAACAGTTGTAACTTATTTTTTTTGGATTGTCACTTTCTCGTTCTCCCTCTAGGGGATGGTTGGGGTAAGACTTTTATATAGAAATATTGTAAATCAGGTCTACTTTAAATTTGTCTAAAATAGGTTTCCTATTTTCTTTGTAACTATTTTTAAATGCCAGCATTTCTCCACACATCCAAATTGACAGTTCAGATCGAAATTTTTGGAAAAATGTCAATAAATTGATATTTTGGGTTTGTATGCAAAAGATATCGTAGATTTCAATTGTTTTATTATAAAATTTTTAACTCAATTTTTAGCTGGCATTGCTTCATGAGCAGAACTTGCAGATCTTTCGGAGTCCGGATAAGCGAACACGTCAAAAGAACGGACAAATCTGCATTTGGACATCATTTGAGGTTTAATCAACATAATTTTAGCCCAATACAAAACTACAAATTATTAGTTAACTTGAACACAAAAATTTTTAACTTATTAGATTTTCACGAAGATGTTGAAATTACACTCGAAAGAGACAACAACCTTTGTTTCAACACTCAGGTCAAAATCAAGAGAAATTTCATACCCCTCCATAGACAACTTGGTTAACCATCAATGATGATATAAGTCCGAGTCGCTCAAAAATAAGCTTTCTTCCTAAATTCATGCTAACTCATCAGAGCCTACTTTTGGAACCATGATACTTTGATGTTTTTTGTTTCCATTTTTGTCTCTCTGGAACTATCGCTTGTTGAGCGACTTTGAACTTATAGAGCTGAACATCATATTTTCCTATAGGAACTGCGGGTTCTGTTGTGCCATCTTTGCCTCTCGGAAAAACGATCCGTAGAGCCCGGGTGGCACATCAGAATCAAGTGAGGGATATATTTATTTTGTGTTGACATTGAACTGAATGTCTTAGAATTCTTAAAAACCAAAATAAATTAAAATTATTGTAAAACATAAATAATTTTCAAATTTGATCAATTTTCAAATTTAAATATATAATCCCTCTCCAATCGCAGCTAGGTCTGAGCAACTACACCTCGAGCGAGACTCTCGCATTGCCGTTTTTGTTTCTTCCCTAGAACCAACAATGGCACAATGGGATCTATCCAGCCCTATTCGTCGATGGGAAAAATTAATTATTATCCATAAAATATTTAAACATTATCAAATTATATGAGCATCTAAATTCACATTTAACTTTTTCAAATCGTTCGATATTACTAAATAACCTTTCAATTCTTCAAGCACTCAAAATAATATAAAAAGTAGAATAAATAAAAGCTCCTCAAACTAACTTATTTTTCGAACGATGTCCACTCTCAGTCGAATTACACCTAGAGTATCTTGACTCACACCGGCGAGATAACGCATCTTCTCTTTTGTCATCTGTCATATCTGCGTCGACAGGTTTCACCTGTCATCGCTGTCACTTTAATCGCCTAAATATGGGAGCAATGGCAAACTAAAAGTTTTAAAACAAAAATTATATTATGTATATACAATATCATTATTCAAAATCTTTGAAGAAAATAAATATGATAATTTAGCCAGGTGGAACATTCTATACTTTATACTTTATGGTGAGGGATTAAGATGAGTAGTAAACTTTTTGGATAACTATTGTGGCGACAGTGCGTATTTTTAATGATTAATATCCATTTTTCCTCTAAATTCAAACCAAAGTTCAATTAGATTTATCACATGTTTTCCTCTTTAAATTTCAATTTTTATTGTAACTGTAAACACAAAATTCAATTCGGACAATTACAGGGGCATAACCATTTATCTTTACAGTAAACGTTAAAAATCGCATTGTCAATATTCCTTTTAAATGACATTTAAAACAATAACATGCGCGTAATGAGATGTCATAACACACATGTGCATTTTGATAAGAAAACTTAAATTTTTTAGTTTAATTAAATTGCAACCAAATTTTTATCAATTACGATTTTATTTGGTCTATTTACATAAATTTAGTCAATCGAAAAACATAAAAACTTTTAGCATTAGCGAAATACATTTTGGATTAAAAAAGTTATGCCCCTAAATGTCAGCAAAACATTATACAATTTTTCAAAAAAGTCGCGTTTTCTTAGCATGCTATGGAAATAAAAGTCTTGTCATTTATATTGTCAATTTTTGTAACAAAATATTGTATTAGAACATTTTTTCAACTTTACCTACGAATATCTCTGTTAGTAGTGAAAGCACTCCACCGGAGATTTTAGAAAAAGCTCAAGCTGTCACACATAATTTGTTACCGCTAAAATCCAAAGAAAGGAACAAAATTACCTATCGAAAATTTATGGATTGGCGACACAAGCATATGTCATTTATTTAATAGAAAAAAATAAGTGGGCGCGGAAAAGTATAATACGTTACACGAGTTGTAAGCCCATTACGTACTCGAGAATTTTTTCACTTCGTGCGTAATGGGTTACTTACAACTCTTGTTACGTAATATACTATTTTTTTTATAAAAAATACATAAAATACGATAATGTTTTTCATTAGCGAAACAAAAGTGAAAAACAAAATTAATAAACAAACATTATTTATAATATTTCAGAACATAAAAGGACATATCTCCACCAATTAGCTTTTTGCACTTACAATAATTCGTAGTTAGACGTCTTTTTTGACTCGGATAGTAGAAAGTCTTCCTCTTGTTTTCTTCAACGTATGATACTTAACATTTTTTTATCGCCAAACTAGCCCCTAAAATCTTGACTTTATATCATTAAACTCACCATATATCTCTGATGACGAGTAGTTTACGTTCTGCGCTTTTATGATTTTTGTTTTCATTAACAAAAATTATGGTTTTATAAAATTTAAAATTCATTCTAAACAAGTTTTCTTAATTATTTTCAGGAAAAATAAGGAGTATCCCGAAAAAATTAAAGAAAAGAAAGACGAGTCTGTATCTTATTTTAAATTGGTAAGCTGTAATTAAAATTATAAAACTAGACATTACTATCCATAGTTTTGTGATATTTCCATTAACTCTCCTATGAATTTTAGTTTAAATATGCAACATCCTTGGACAAATTTTGTATGATAACAGGAGCATTGTGCGCAACAATCAGTGGAGTGATCCAACCCTTTTTGATGCAATATTTTGGCGAAGTTACGGGAGCCATTGTAGAATATGCCACCAAATACGACCCAGAGCTATGGTACGAAGAAATAGATGAAATTAATGCCAATCTGGAGTACGCCGTTTGGTTATTTGCAGTAAAGTCTTGTGTTACTGGGATCGTCGTTATTGTTACCAGTTATTTGTCATGTGTTTTGTTCAGTTACAGTGCTATTAGACAGGTAATTTTTAAGGATATAATTAATTTATGAACTTCCATTGAGACAGTCAGGTTTTTGTTCAGGCTATAGCTGTGCTACTATTAGTTTTACTTGATGTCACCAATTATCTGTTCAGAAATATTGTTGTTAAGAAAAAAAGTTGTACCCTTTTTCGTGCTTGATTCTATTAAAGCATTAAATATTCTTAATCATAAACTTTTACGCTAAATATTTCATTTAATTGGTTGCACTAATGATGATAGACTTTTTAATAGCTGTTGTTGTTGTAGTTGTAGTTACTGTTGCAAGTACATCAAATATCAAATAGATTTTCAATAATAATAGTCAATATAAGAAATAAACAGTAAAATTTATTATACCAGTTATTAAAAAAAATGTTTAACAAAATTATGATTTTTAAAAAATCTTTCAACTTTCAATCGTCCTAATATAAAGTTATCAAAGCCTCCTATGACCTATTGTCTTTCAGTTATCAATTAGGCATTCCAACGATCTGTCAAAATTCTGACAAGTGGGAATTGATATTTAGATATGGTAACACTGTGGCCTGCTGTTATTGACAGGGTCAGTGATACATATATAGTTGTGTAGATTGCTAAAAGCGGGTCCTTGTGCGAGCGGACATATTGCCTCCCAAGTGCTCAGAATTAGTTTAGCAAAAATGAGCCTTAAAATCAATTTTCAGTCTTTGAATATAGTAAAAAAATAATTACCTAGGTACATTTTTTTCTTCAAGGCATAAACTTATGTTTATTTTGAAAAAATGGATGATCAATCTATATAACTATCTATTTCATTGGCCCTGTCAAATCACTAGGCTTGCAGGGTTGTCATAATGTTGCCATATCATAACCGGTCAAAACCCACTGGTAGCCATTTTGTTTGGAATACCTAATATACAGGGTAGCTGGTAAAGATGGAACAAAACCTATAGTGCTTAAACGGTTCAACATACAAAACCCAAAATTTTAGAATTTCATCTAAATATATTTGCGCATATTTTAGCCCAAAAATTATTTTTTTTATAATTACAAAATTTTAAGCATAGCCGCCATCTTGATTTTTTTAAACAGCAACATAGGTCTTGTGATATACCACTTGAAAGGGTTTAACACCCTGATTACAAAAATGTATCACACATGGGGTCTAAACACAACAGAAAGGATATTTATAAACGTTTTTGTAATAATATTTGACGTCTTGTGTCAAGTGCACAGCCTCCTACGCTCCCTATTAATAATAATAATACATTTTTGTAATCAGGGTGTTAAACCCTTTCAAATGGTATATCACATGTCCTATGTTGCTATTTAAAAAAATCAAAATAACGGCCATGCTTAAAATTTTGTTATTATAAAAAAATAATTTTTGGGCTAAAATATGCGCAAACATATTTAGTTGAAATTCTAAAATTTTGGGTTTTGTATGTTAAACCGTTTAATCACTATAGGTTTGGTTCCATCTTTAACAGCTACCCTATATGACCAAGACGTAAAATAATTCTTGAAGCCGATGTCACGTAATACCAGCGACCGTTTCTCCTCGGAAAACATTTAAGTAATATCGTAACAGGCAATAAATTATAAATAAAGAAAAAGAGCAGAGATAAAGAATTTATTCTCAATACTGTTCATTTAATTTTGTTTAAAAGGAGAACGTCATTCTATCTTGGACCGGTTTCGTCCTTATTAGGACTCAGCAGCAAGAAGTATACACATTCTCTAATGGAATCTGCAGATGCGTTAAATTTCCTCGCTCTCATGGCCAGTGAATATATAAGGAAAGGAGTAATAAAGTAACGCCATTTACACTTAGTAAGCAAAATCAAAGTAAAGTAAATGTTATTGCCTACGAAACATATATACATGTTCGAAGAGGGTCATGAAATGTATGAATTAAAATCATACACAAAAAAAATAAAAAAACTTGAAAATTAAAATTAACAGTAAAATTAAGAAATAAAATATCTAGATGAGATGACAGAATAAAAAGATAATTCAGTCAAATATTTTTTTAATATAACTTTAAATTTTGTCTGGCAAAGATTTTTAAAATTGGCTAATAATAAATTTAACAGACTATAGTCGAAAGAATTGTTTTGAGATTTACAAAGACGATATCGAACAGCTTTAATATTATTAAAACTTCTATTGCTGTAGTGATACTTTTGACAATAAATCCATGCTTCTTTTGATTTCGATCGCGAATACAAATCATTGTAATATAAACAGCCAACATCTTCCTCATAAATGTCTTGAATCTCATCAGCGTCACTTCCATGGTTTATTTGTTTTTCAACCAGAATTTTCCTTCTGTTTTTCTGAATAGTTTTTCCCTTTCCTTTCTTGCTTTTTCATCTGCGTACCTTTTCCATTTCATCAATCTCGTGTGTTGAATTTATGTGTCTTTTTTGCTGGGTTTTCTGATTCTGGCGCAGCTTGAGGTAATGGAGACAAATCCTGAATTAAAAATTTGCATTTCCTAGATGACAAAATACCCGGTGCCGCAGATTTTGGATTTTCACAGGACATTGGTGTTGAAGATTCCACTTCTATAGATTTTAATTTCACTTCAGTCGGTTCCGGTGATTTGGTTCCATGTTTGTGAAAATTAACATCTACATGATGAGGCTGTTCCTGATCATGTTGGACTTGGTTTTTATCATTCAACGGTTTATCGGTTGTTGAAAAGGCTTGAAACATGCGGTCCTCAAAGACGTTTTCATTAAATGGGTATATTCCCGTTTTGCTAAAAGCGCTTACTGCATTTGAAGGCGTAGCAACTTTTAAATAAGCTTTATTAAAAAGGCCTGCTACTTGGAAATGTGAAACAATTCTAGCAGGATTTTGCTTAAGCCAAGTTTGGAGTGGTGCGAAAAATCCAACATCTAATGTTTGTACTCGATGAGTACAATACGCGGGAAAGCAAAACAGTATTACATTGTTGTCATTCGCGTATTGTAGCACTTCTAAGCTTTTGTGGCTATTATGACCGTCCAAAAGAAGCAAAATTTTATTTTCTTTTGTAGCTTTTGTGTAATGTACAAAATGTTTCAACTACTGCACAAACAGCTCCTTACATATCCAGCCAATTTCCAGACAAAAGGCATTGCTACCAATAGGTGTGTAGCAGCTATTACATGTTAGTCTAATCTTAAGTCAACTCGGTAGCTGGGGAAACATAGATTGAAGGAATAATGACATTAGTTGTGAAGTATTAATAAAATCGTAAAAATCATTTTAACATATATTTTATTGGTACAATTTGGTGACCCCGACAATAAAGATGCCTACGAATAGACAACGCCAGAGAAGTCCATTAAACAGCCAGCAGCAACAGGAATATAGTCCGACAGTTTTAAGTTCCAATCCGAAACTACCGGAATTTTGGTCACGGGACCCACATTTATGGTTCGCTCAAGTAGAAGCAATTTTTTTAACAAGAAACATATTCGATCCCCTAACTAAATATAACTACTTAGTAGCATCATTAACTCCAGAAATTGCAACAGAAGTACGGGATATTTTATTAACAGCACCAAATAATGAGTCGTACTTAAATCTTAAACAAGAATTAACAAAACGGTTTACTTTTTCTGATACAAAAAAAGGCCCAATTTCTATTGTCAACCTCAGAATGCGGTGATCGAAAACCTTCTCAAATTTTAAGATATATGCAGCAACTACTAGGATCTGGTTTAGAGGATAAAACACTTTTCAAGGAATTATTTCTACAACGTTTACCTTCTGAAATACGTCTCACATTGACAGCCCACAAAAAAACAATGGAAATTAACAAACTGGCCGATATAGCAGACAGCATGCTAGAAGCTATTGAAATAAGCGAGGTTAATTCCATCAAAAGTACATCAGATACTGAGCTCAAAAAACTTTCTTTGGAGGTTAACGAGCTAAAAGCAATGGTTCAGCAAATGGTTAAGCACAGTCCACCTAAAAAAGATCGCGGCGACGGTACTTTTTGTTGGTACCACTTCAAATTTGGAAGAAATGCAAGAAAGTGCGTACTACCTTGTAACTGGCAAGAAAAAAACGACAATACCAGCGAATAACGACGACGAATTTAGCTGGATTTGTTCACAACAGTCGTCTATTTTTTATCAAAGACTTTTTAACCAACAAATTATTTTTAGTTGATACTGGTAGTAAGGTAAGTGTTTTGCCACCCAATGCAGTAGATTATAAAAATAAACAAGTTTATACATATTTACAAGCTGCAAATCAGTCAAAAATATGCACATATGGATATAGGCCGTTGTCTTTAGATTTTGGTTTAAATAAAATCTTTCAATGGAAATTTATAGTCGCAGACGTTAAACAACCGATACTCGGAGCCGATTTTTTAAATAACTTTAATTTTTTAGTTGACATGCAAAATTATAAACTTATTAGTTCTATAGAAATGTCAACAATAAATGGAATTAAATCTAATAAAAAAACTTTAAAATGTACATTGGTAACACATAAAATTTCACAAGGTATTGAGCATTTACTTAAAAAATTTCCTAACCTTACATCACAAGATACTTTTTCTGGCGTAAAACACAACACTTCGCATTTTATAGAGACAAAAGGTCCGCCAGTTTACTCTAAACCCCGTAGGTTACCACCAGAAAAGCTTAAAATTGCGAAACAGGAGTTTGAGAAACTATTAAAGCTAGGCATTATAAAACCTTCTTCTAGCAATTGGTCTTCACATCTTCATATGGTTTCAAAGTCGAATGGAAGTTGGCGACCATGTGGAGATTATAGAGCGTTAAATATTAATACTATACCAGACAGATATCCTATTCCTCATATACATGACTTTGTTTCGCAACTTCATGGCACCTCAGTATATTCGAAAATAGATCTTATTCGAGCCTACCATCAAATTCCTGTAAATCCTACTGATATTCCAAAAACTGCTATATGCACTCCATTCGGTCTTTTTGAATATGTCACAATGCCATTCGGGTTAAGAAACGCAGCTCAGACCTTTCA